TACAACACACTAATCCAATCACATCTCCGAGGTGGTGACTTAGCCACGTCAGCTAAACTAATAGAAGAAATGAAGAGTTGTGGGTTCCTTGCAGATGCTTCCACTGTAGAGTTGGTGATGGATATGCTATCGAGTGGTGAAATGGACAAAAGCTTTCTAGATATGCTGTCTGGTCCTTCTCGAGACAAATCATCATCGTTGGGTTGAAATAAATCTTCTTTTCGAGACAAATCACCAATATTCTGACTCTGGTTGCTCTTTTTTCCTCCTTGGCTGGTTTGTCCCTCTTCACCTCCCGCTATTAATTTACATTGAAAACCTATGTTTCCAAAAAACTTGCGTGTTTCTGTTTTTTTTTTAAAGATTCTCTTCTGACCAATTGATTGATCTGTGAAACCTGTGGAGCTAGCTATCTGTGGGTTTAAAGGATCACTCACTAGTCAGTAACTCATGTTTTGTTTTGGTTCACTGAACCAACTTGTTTTGTGTTTTCTGATATTTGGGAATATTATTAGGATCAGAACCAGATTCCTTGTGTTGATGTTTGAATAAGTGAGTTGAATTTGGAGATATTCAGTGAAACCCAGAGTTGACTTAGTAATGATACGTAGTTTTAGTTCTTTGAGTGCTCTTTTGTTCTTCTAAGGAAGGTTCTTGGTATCTGTGGATGACTGATGATTGTAGAGCTATTTATACTCTTCTGGACATGATCTTTTAACTTCCCAGTAAAATCTAGTGGCTCTCTTCAGAACTACCAAATAGCTAGGTATAAATCGATAGATAAAGTAGAATTTGAAAAATTCTAGTGTCAATATCATCTACAAGGTTAAATATTTTCTTATAATTTGGTTGATTTAATATCTTTGTATGCATTCTAATCAATAATACCAACTGAGCCTTGCTGATGCATTCAGTCGAACAAGTTGTGGGCGATATTGTCTTGAACTTCTTCTATTTACTGTAATAATCCGTTGAAGAGACATCTTTTGTTTGACAAAAAAAAATAAAAAGAGACATCGTTTTACTTGGTCAACATAACAAAAACAAATTAAAATCACATAAACAACGGGAAGACGAGAAACGACACGACACATAATAAAATAAAATAAAAAACAAGACACGAAATTTAAATGAACCGGAACTCTCTTGTCACCTAACCGGTCTTCTTCTTTTTTTCGTTCTCTCTCCCACAAAATATCTGGAGCTCACTCATTCACACTAGAGAATCCATTTTTTGTGTGCCCTAACTAGAAGAAGACGATTCATCTGAAGCGGGGATAATGATGATGAGGGCACAGAGATGGCGTCGGCTTACTCCTTTGAGATTGGTTCTTCCCCGTTCACTTCAGAGAGGTACACTGAGAAATGCTTTCTTCCAAATCACATACGAGTTTTTCTGCGAAAGAGGCTTCTCTGATGGTGTCAGCAGAAGCAGCGATAGACATCTCTCTTCTTACAGAGAGAAACTGAAAAGTGGACTCGTCGATATCAAGAAAGATGATGCTGTTGCTCTGTTTCAGTCTATGATTATGTCTCGTCCTCTTCCTACGGTCATTGATTTCAGTAGATTGTTTAGTGCAGTGGCTAGAACGAAACAGTATGATCTTGTGTTGGATCTCTGCAGGCAAATGGAACTTCAAGGGATTGCACATGACAACTACACTCTGAGCATTGTCATCAATTGCTTGTGCCGTCGTCGTAAACTCGGTTTTGCTTTTTCTGTGTTTGGAAAGATATTGAAGCTTGGGTATGAGCCCGACACAGTCACATTCTCAACTTTGATTAATGGTTTATGTCTCAAGGGTCTAGTTTCTGAAGCTGTGGAGTTAGTTGATCGTATGGTGGAAATGAAGGTTATACCAAATCTTATTATACTTAACACTATTGTCAATGGGCTTTGTCTCCAACATAGACTCTCTGAAGCAATGGCTTTGATTGATCGAATGGTGGAAAAGGGATGTCAAACCGACGCAGTTACCTATGGTCCGATTTTGAACAGAATGTGTAAGTCAGGTAACACTGCCTCGGCCTTGGATCTGCTCAGAAAGATGGAACATAGAAAGGTCAAGCCTCAAGTAGTCACATACACTACAATAATCGATAGTCTTTGTAAAGATGGCAGCCTAGACGATGCACTCAGGCTTTTCAATGAAATGGAAACCAAAGGGATCATAGCAAATGTATTTACCTACACCTCTCTCATTGGAGGCTTCTGTAATGTTGGCAGATGGAATGAAGGTGCGCAGTTTCTGAGGGATATGATTACAAGGGGAATCACCCCTAACGTCATCACTTTCAGTGCTTTGATTGATAGTTTTGTGAAAGAGGGAAAGTTTTCTGAAGCTAAAGAATTGTACAATGAGATGATCACAAGAGGCATAGATCCTAATACCATTACATATAGTTCTTTGATATATGGTTTTTGCATGGATAACCGCTTAGATGAAGCCAACCAGATGCTGGATCTGATGGTAAGCAAGGGATGCGATCCTGATATCATGACGTTTAATATCATTATAAATGGATATTGCAAGGCTAAACAGGTTGATGAAGGTATGAGACTTTTCCGCAAAATGTCAATGAGTGGAGTGGTTGCCGATACAGTCACTTATAACACTCTCATCCAAGGGTTTTGTCAGTTAGGAAAACTTAATGTGGCCAAAGAACTCTTCCAAGAGATGGTCTCTATTGGTGTGCCACCCAGTGTTGTGACTTACGGTATTTTGCTGGATGGGTTGTGTAACAATGGAGAACTAGAAGAGGCATTGGAAATACTTGAAAAAATTCAGAAGAGTAAATTGGATCATGGTATTGGTATCTATAATATCATCATTCACGGGATGTGCAATGGAAGTAAGATCGATGAAGCATGGAATCTATTCTGTAGCCTCCCTATCAAAGGAGCAAAGCCAGATGTCATAACGTACACTATAATGATTGGTGGACTATGTAAGAAAAGCTCACTGTCTGAAGCAGATATGTTGTTTAGAAAGATGGAAGAGGATGGGATTGCGCCAACTAGCGGTACATACAACACTCTTATCAGGGCACATCTACGAGATGGCGACTTAACCACATCAGCTAAACTTATTGAAGAAATGAAGAGTTGTAGATTCTCAGCAGATGTTTCCACCATAAAGATGGTTATGGATATGTTATCCGATGGTAGATTGGACAAAAGCTTTTTGGATATGCTTTCTTGAAGGCCTCATCTAACTACGAGACAGTGCTGGTTAGTGTTTACGAGTTAATTGGGTTTATTAGTTGAAACCAGCTTTTTTTTGTTGTATAAAAGTACAAGTAGTATCTCAAGGGTCAGTGTGGGTTCTCTGGTTTTGTCAGAGATATAATTAAACTGCAACATAGGCATTGCTTTGCTCTTGACTTTTATACTTTACGAAATGTTTGTTGGCTTAGGAAAAGTTTGGGAAATTGGTCAAGATATTAACCACAACTGAGCCAAACTTGCAAACATCAATGACTCCTTGTAAGAATTTCCAAAAGTTTGAGAATCTTCTCTAAGCCGCACCTTCTTTAAGCAGACTCTTCTTTATTTAAACTGCATCTTTTCTTTTCTCACTGTGTTCATCTGTATACTTTTTGCATTTTTTTAGGTTATGGACAAATATGTCATCTCTCTAGTTTGCTTTGGAAATTGTATTTTTCGTTACATGTCTCTGCACTAAAACGAACCTTACATGATCTGTTCTAAATGTCCTTCCCTTGGGTTGACTTGAAACATAACAAAAGGATGAGGATATATACGGCACATTTGTTGTTTTACTCACTTTCTTAGAATCTGAACATGTAGAGAGAATGCTCCAAGAACTCCAAATTCTCTCGTTCGGTCAAGTAATGAGTATCGGTCTCCACTGATCTTATTTTGCAGATGTTTCTCATCAGCTTTAAAAGAAAAACTTTCTAGATATGCTGTCTGGTCCTTCTCGAGACAAATCATCATCGTTTGGATTGAAATAAATCTTCTTGGAAGAAGCTGGTGAACCTTGTCGGAAGAGAGATGTGCATATGCTAACAGGTCTTCTTAGAATGTTTGGATCTTATCTGCAAGAGACAAAATCCCGGTTAGTAATTTCTGAGGTACTTGGGATTAATTAGTAGAAAATTAAGTTTGTTTGCTTACGTCTAAACAGATGATGTCCTCTCCTTGTTATCGTCTTGGCATTGGTTCATTTTCAGTGTATAATGTTTGTCATCTTCAGTTGAGCATATGTGTATTGACAAATGCTCAAGCTTGATAAACAGTACCACTTTTTCCACTTATTCAAATTTCAGGTGATGAGAGATCTGCAATGTGTTGCTATGATCTGTTCAGACATCAATTAGAATTAGTTTGGTTGTGCAGTCATTTATAGAAGATAAGTCTCCATTGTTCAGACATCAATTAGAATTAGTTTGGTTGTGCAGTCTTTTATAGAAGATAAATCTCCATGGTTGAACTTTGGGATTAACTAGTTGTGAAAGTCTTAAGAGAAGTTTGCTGTGAAAAATTCGTTTATTGTGTTTGACAGTTTGAGGTTTGACAAAATAAAATAAAATATGTTGTTTATTTGTATATTTTTTTATTACAACTTTGAATCATATGAGCACATAAAAGATGTCACCATAAAATGATCGTCTTAAATAAACAATGACTCGTTTCCTCTTAAAGTCAACCGTCGCCTTGCTAACACGTCGCGTGGACCACAACGTTCAAGCCATTACTTTTCTCATCACTGATTGGTTCGTATATTACACCATCCTATCCAGCGCGTTGGTTATCTTTCTCCGTCCATTGCTCTTTCTCCGATCCGGAGAACCTACAAAACAAAACAGAAGGAATAAAAATCCAATTTTTAATTAAATTTTCCTCTCAAAAAATTTCCTCTTTTTTTAGCAAAAGTGAGAATCTGAGATTGATTCGGTTTCTAACTCGGAGCTCCGAGTTACTCTAATCGAAAAACCCGGTTTTCAGATCTGGGAAAAGTTTCGATTTCTGGGAGATGTCGAAGCCATGGGGTGGAATCGGGGCATGGGCCGATGAGGCGGAGCGTGCGGATGAGGAGCAAGCAACGGCGGATGCGCAGAGCTTCCCAAGCTTGAAGGAGGCTGTGACAACCACCAAGTCTAAGAAGAAAAAGAAGATGACTTTATCGGAGTTCACCAAGGGTCCTGCTTCTGGTGGTGGTGGAGGATTGACGAGGGAGCAGATGATTCAGCTTCCTACTGGTCCAAGGCAACGCTCTGAGGACGAAATGCAGCGTGGTGGAATCGGTGGCGGCTTCTCTTCTTACGGTGGGAGGTCGGGTCCTGGAGGTGGGTTGAGAGATCGAGATGATTCTAATGGTGGTGGGAGGAGAGGTTATGGTGGGTTTGATGATGATCAGAGAGGAGGTTCTAGGGTTTCTGATTTCCCTCAGCTGTCTAGGGCTGATGAGGTTGATGATTGGGGGAAAGGGAAGAAGTCTCTCCCTGTGTTTGATCAGGGAAGGCAAGGTCGTTACGGTGGTGGTGGTGGTGGTGGCGGTGGTGGTAGTTTTGGTGGTGGAGGTGGTGGTGGTGGCAGTTATGGAGGTGGTAGTGGCAGTTACGGAGGAGGAGGCAGGTATGGAGGTGATGGTGGAGGCAGGTATGGAGGTGATGGTGGAGGCAGGTATGGAGGTGATAGTGGAGGCAGGTATGGAGGTAGTGGTGGTAATAGTTATGGAGGTGATGGTGGAGGCAGATATGGAGGTAGTGGTGGTGGTAGTTATGGAGGTGATGGTGGTGGTGGTGGTGGTGGTGGTGGAGGAGGCAGTTATGGAGGTGGAATATCCAAAGCTGATGAGGATGGTAACTGGGGAGCAGGTAAAAGCCAAGCGTCATTTGCAAAATCATCTACATTTGGGTCAGGTCACCGTGATTCTGGAGTTTCTTCCGGTGGTGTTCAGGAGGAGCGTCGTCGTCTTGTTCTTGAGCCACGTAAGGTTGTTGTTGAAGCTGAAACTGAAACTGGTGTGAAGACGAGTAAGGCGAGTCCATTTGGAGCAGCAAGGCCGAGAGAGCAAGTTCTTGCGGAGAAAGGATTGGACTGGAAGAAAATTGACTCGGAGATTGAGGCTAAGAAGGGGAGTTCTCAAACGAGCAGACCATCGAGCGAACAGTCGAGTAGGCCATCAAGTGCTCAGTCCAATAGGTCTGAGAGCTTAGCGTTGGAGAATGTGGTGAAGCCTAAACCAAAGGTGAATCCTTTTGGTGATGCAAAACCTAGGGAAGTGTTGTTGGAGGAACAAGGAAAAGATTGGCGTAAGATGGATTCTGAACTCGAGCATCGCAGGGTTGACAGGTCTCTCTCTTTATTCATCTGTATATTATCTGAGATATGTGGATCTGTTTCGAGTTTTATTTTATTTTAAGTGATGTTAAGTTGTTAACTAGTGAACTAAATAGAGGATGGGAAAATGTAGTTAAACTAAAAACCTCAGATAGTTTTGCCAGATCTGCTTTAGTGTTTTAGCTTCAGAAATGGAAACTAATTGAATGACTTACCTAATTTAATAGTGTATTCATGGCTTTCTTTGGATGACATGTGTTCATGACTTCATGTATGCTCTTTTAAGCATGCTTAGGCACAAGATAGGCTCTTATCTAAACGTTTGTACCATTTCAGTAGAGCTCATTTGTATGGTGTTTGTTCTTTTGATACAGCATCTCTTGGTATTAAATGAAATTGCATAGTCAACTTATAAGATAACTCTTGCTCACATCTAAGTCGTCCGAGTTACGTGTGTACTTTAGCTGAAATTTATACTTTGAACTCTATGATACGACTTTGTATTAGTACACGAATAACTTCTCTGTGATTATGTTGATGACTTTCTAGATCATCTGCTAATTAGCTATTGGAATCACTTTAAATCTCTGTCTTGTGAAACAAATTTGTTGCAGGCCTGAAACAGAAGGAGAGAGACTATTGAAGGAAGAGATCGAAGAACTACGGAAGAAACTTGAGAAGGAAGCAACCATCACAGCTGATAGCAAGGAATCTCAGCAAGAATCCAACAGTAATGTACCTGATCTGATAAGCGAGAAAGAAAAAGAGCTGGACTCACTGATCCGTGAGCTGGACGACAAAATCAGGTTCAGGCCAAGAGCAGCTGAGAGGCCTGGATCTGGTGCAGGCAGAACAGGTAACTACTCTGAACGACCACATTCTCGGGGTGGATCGATTGACGATGCTAGGAGTGTGGAATCAATGGAAAGACCTAGATCACGAGGCACAGGTGATTATAGGTCAAGACCAGTAGATGATAGAAGAAACTTCCAAGGAAGCAAGGAACGTGGATTCTTCAGCAACAGGAACGTTGACAGGTTAGTGTTTTAACAAAAGAACGGACTTGTAATATACTTGATAAGAATCTAAAAGATGATCATGTAGAAGTCTTGAAACTTGGAAATGATGCTGATCATGCTGACTATTGGATGCGACTAAACTGACATGTTAGGGTTTTCCACAGGTCATCATCGTCCAGAGATGGATGGTAAAAAGAAGGAAACGAAGAATGAATGTGTGGAATGAGATTTTGGAGTTTGGTTCCCAGATTTTGAAGAAGCTTCAATAATAATAATAACTAATAATGAAAGAAAAATTCATCTCCTTTGAATTGAAACCTAATTTTTTGGGGACTAGTTTATGTTTTTGTGTTGATTCATCGAAGCCTAATGGTTTCTTCTTCCTTTTTAATTGTACTTGTTTTGTCTTTTGCTCGTTTATCCACATGATTTTGTGACAATTATTGTGTCTTAAGAATTTTTGGAGACAGGCTTCTGTTCTCAGTTCAATGCTGCTTCAGTTGTGATTGACGTTTGTACCTTTCTATGTTGGTTGACTTGGGATTTAACTCTTTTTGGTAAAAAAACTCTCTACTCATTCAGCTTGTTAGATTTGAGGATGGTGAAGGAAAGATGTACACAATGTTGTTCTTCTTTTCATCTCCAAAGAAAAAGTGATGAACTAAAAAACATTACCCTCATTAATAACTGATCCCGTCCCGTTGTATGCAGCTTTTCATCTGGGTTATTTGCCTGCAGATTTGTAATTGTAGCCACTTTAGTCAAAAAAAAGATACGACTCCACTGGGGATCGAACCCAGAGTCTCTGGTTTCGTAGACCAGCGCCTTATCCATTGGGCCATGGAGTCTCTTTGTTTCAATGTGCAAAGGCTAAAACTAAAAATGATAATATTTATGTCCATCCTTCGGCATATAAGCCCCAAGAGTGGCAGTCTTATTTTGGCTCAAATATCATTCATTCACCAGAGTGTAAGATCCCGTGACTCAGTTAGTGGAGGCTACGTATAATATCTTCATCACAAAGCCAACTTGAAAGGTAATATGAAAGTATACTGTCTTCACTTTAAAGTATGAACTCTTTCTACAACAAAGTCAAAAAGTAAAACCAGAAAAGAGTTATCAAAGACCCTCAAAAGCACACAAACAAAACAAAATTTTAGAGCAGTTGATTCATATACGAGTCTTTAGACTTATTAGCTCCACCACTCTGAGTATCTCCAGAAAGCAGATTACTAACAATGGAGCTTCCCCATGAAAGCCAACCCGTTACTCCTCCTTGTTGCTTCTCAGCTTCAATCACACTCCTCACTTGCTCTTCCTCAACCATATCTTCCCATCTCTTCCTCATATACTCTCTAACACCTTCAGCCCCTTGGTTAATCATCTCCTGTGGAGGGAACTCCAACGGGTTACCGTCCAAGTTCACTTTCTCCAGCTTCTCCAACCTGAAAAACGAGTCTGGCAAGACTCTGATCTGGTTGTTGCTGACATCTAGCTCCTTGAGGTCAGCTAAATCAGAGATGGTGTCAGGTAATTCAGTCAAGTCACTGAAGTTGCCGCTCACGTTCAAGACTTCGAGGCTCGTGAGCCTCCCTATAGCTACCGGAAGGCCGTGGATCTCGTTCATGTGCGCATCTAGATACTTTAGAGACCGCATCTCGCATATGGAGTTAGGGAAGTAACGGATCTTGTTCAGCTGGATTGATAGCCTTTCGAGGTTGAGTAACCCGTATCCGATGTTTGCAGGTAAACAAGCCAAGTTGTTGAAACTCGCATCTAACTCCACTAGTGACCTAATCCACACAAAAAAAAAAACTCTCTTCAGCATATGAGACTAAATGAAACAAAACATGAACAATGTATAATCACAAAACCTGCACTGAGTTATGCTCTCAGGGAGATAAGTTAGCTTGTTGCCAGATACATTTAAAACCCTCAGGTTAAGTAACAGTCCGAAAGAGTCTGGAAGAGACTTGAGAAGGTTTGAAGACACATCAAGCTCCTCTAGCTTCTCAAACCCTGAGATTGTTTCAGGTAGTAACTGCAAAACAAAAAAAAAAGTAAACAAGATCTCGTCATGCCTTAGCTCATCGTTCACAATAAACCACCAAGACTCATAAAGCATATCCAAAACCTAAAGTTTCGTGCTTTACAGAACAAAACTACTCAATCTAGACCAAAGATCGATTTAAACCAATGTTAACCGATTTAAACTAATTTTAACCGACTTAGAATCGATTTAACCAATTTAGATCGATTTGAACAAATTTTAACCGATTTAGATCGATTTAAACCAATTTTAACCGATCAAAATTAAAACTTTAACTGAATAGATTGAAACCAAATTTAACCGATCCAAAATTTAAACTAACTTTAACCGAATCGATTTAAACTAATTTCAACCGATCTAAATTTAATTTAATATCAACCTTAACCGATCTAAATTTAAACTAATATTAACCGAATCGATTTAAACCAATTTTAACAGTATCAATCAAAAGCTCCGTGGTTTTACCGTGAGATCATTGCGAGAGAGATTCAACGAAACCAAAGAGACGTTTTCGCTCAAAGCTTCAGGAAAAACCTTAAGCTTACGATCAGAGAGATCGATCCTCTCATCTTCACCCATCTCAAGAATCTCAACAAACTCCTCGTCCACCTCATCACCACCGTACAACGACTCAACCGCAGACTCATAAACCTCACACAGCTTCTCCTCCAAACCTCTCAACTGCTTCTCGTAACCCTCATGAACTTCCTCCAACTTCACAACCGTCGCGTAGATCTGCTCGTCTTTAACAGCATCCTCGGAGTCCGTCTCCCGGATCTGGGCGATCTTGGCACGTGCGGAGGCGACGGACGAAGGATCGGGGCGGGGACCGAGAGAGGCGAGGACGTGGAGGGTTTGAGTGATGGTGTTTGGGATTGATTCGATTAGGGTGGAGATGACGTGGGGGTTTGTGAGGAGAGGGTAACGATTGGCTAGGGATTGTTGGGTTGAGAGAGAGGGTGGCGCGTGGGAGGCGGGGTCGGAGTGGTGGATTATGTAGGAGAGTAAAGGGAAGATCTCGAGATTGTGATCCATCTTGTTTGATTACACAATGTAGAGAGAGAGAGAGTGGTGTTTATATTCAAAACCTTAAACCAGAAGGAGAGATTAAAGATGATCTCAAAACTCAATATGGTATCTATGTTTATAAAGAAGATTGAGACTTTTGTGGACAAATATGAATAAATCTGTAATGTTTTTGAGATCTAAAAGTCAAAGTCTTATGTAAGTGACTGTCACATTTGGATTATGATTTTTTTATTTTTAATTGTTTTTTATATAACTGGGCCGGCCTTTATATATAATAGAAAAGGTTGGGCCGCTTTAGTATTATAATTTGTTTATGAAATTTGGAATTCTTATTCATTCATTATTCTGAGTAATGTAAGTTTTAATTTAAGGATATAATTTTCTCTGAGTAAATTTGAAAGTTTTATGACTTTATCAAACTATAAATAATTCCAATCAATTTAGTTGTTTCAACTCCTTTTTTTCTTCTTTGATGCAAGCTGCAAACTTAATTTGGAGCTATAATTGTAAAGCTAGATATTATAAAGCTAGATGGGCTTCCAACTTAAAAACCAATTGGTAATAAGTGGAGTGACTCATCTATCTTATTTCTTATATATTGATAGAGATCCCTTTCAACAACTGATGTGGGACCTTAGTCCCTAATAATAATATTTTCTTAATGTCCAATGGTGATAATCAATGGTTTTGTCCTGATTATCAACCTGTTTTCGTCAAGCTAAGCTTGTGTCGAAGATAGCTGATAAGAAGATTAATGAAGCTGGTGGTGCTGTTGTCTCACTGCTTAGGTTATTGTTAATTTTTTTAGAAATCGTATATTTATGTGTAAGTTGGTCGGCATTATCGTTTTTTGTTACATAATTGCGGGACCACTAAATTATCATGTAAATTGGTTTTCTCATTATGTTACCGGTCTTGATATATAGATTGGTTGTTTTGGTTGTGAAAACGCTTATCAATGTTCAAATATCTTTTGTGGAGATATCTGATATAGATCATGGACCACTCTTAGTTGCTTTTCTTTGAAAGTTAGATACTTCGTTTAGGGGTTCGTGTATGTCTTTAGTGAATCATTTCTTGCTAAGACTATGAGATTACTCCTCGTAATAGTCCTAGGGTTATCACATGCGAACTCAAAGACGATCACACTCTCAATTCTACTAATGGTCGATCGAGCCTGGGGATGTTTTAATATACTCATCAACTTATGTACCAGGTTCCTTGAGATTAGTATTTCACGTGCTTTGATATCTCTTTTTATAAATATCCGATTTTCAAAATCAAAATGTTTTTTTTTTTTTTTTTTTTTTTGTCAATTTGGTCACTTTTTGGACCTAAATCCTCAAA